CTCGAGACCTACGGTCGGATGGCAGGGAGAATAACCGCTCGGCAGTGGAGGAGCATTATGTGCGGCCAACGGCGACCTCGAAGGCAGCATCACACGGCCAAAAGTATTCCTCGACGGCTCCCCTATCATCCCATGCCGCCAGCGGGGCATACGGTGGCATACGCTCACACAATACCATCGCCAAACTCTCCGCACCGGTCAAGAAAACGACCAACGTATACCGCGACAACAAAGTCAAGGAGGAGAGCACATCTCATGCGCCCACTTCCTCGTCAGTTGATGATCTTGTTGCGATGGTCGACAAGCATATCAAGGACCCACGCCACTACAAGAGTCAACCGCAACTCAAGTCGGACCAGCAGCATACCCTACACCGGAATCAGAGCAAATATGTGCCCGATTACGAGAACCCGAATGACGTGGATGATCCCGACGATTTAAATGCCGATTACGCCGAGTCTTACGAGGACGCGGTCGAGCAATTATCCAGAGATCTCGATATTCCTGCGAACACCGATCCTGCAGCTATCGCCCACGCAAATCACATGTCAATCGCCCAAGCCAGCTATGACTCGATGCCTCAAGGCGTACCACTCGCACCCTCGAAACCAGCCAGGGCCCTTCCACTGCCCCCCAACGTCTCTGATCCCGAAGAGTATTCTGAAGACGACGACGATCAGGACCTCTACGACGACCAAGGATATACCACCGCCCATTCTTATCGATCTCATTGCGACAATACCACAGGAGGACCTACCACATTAGTCGCGCCCAAAACAACCGCGGACATCCAGAAGGAACTTGACATTGCGAAGGCATGGGTTTTGGAGCATCAAACGGAGGAAGAGGTTGAGGAGGAGAATTGGGATGTGAGCATGGTAGCTGAGTACGGCGACGAGATCTTTGAGTACTTGCGCGAGCTTGAGGTAGGATACCCCGCTGATGCTTTCCCAATATCACTGTGACACTAACCAATCGTTTCATCAGGAACGGATGCTTCCAAATCCTCACTACATGGACATCCAAACCGAGATCCGGTGGTCCATGCGATCCGTCCTCATGGACTGGCTGGTCCAGGTTCACCATCGCTTCAGTCTTCTCCCGGAGACCCTTTTTCTCACCGTGAACTACATCGACCGCTTTCTTTCAGTTAAGGTTGTCTCGCTGGGCAAGCTTCAACTGGTTGGCGCGACTGCCATTTTCGTCGCAGCCAAGTACGAGGAGATCAACTGCCCTTCCATTCAGGAACTTGTGTACATGGTGGATCAGGGATACTCTGTTGAGGAGATTCTAAAGGCAGAGAAGTTCATGCTCACCATGCTGAACTTCGAACTTGGTTGGCCAGGCCCGATGAGCTTCCTTCGGCGCATTAGCAAAGCCGATGACTACGATTTGGAAACTCGGACTCTTGCAAAGTACTTGCTCGAAGTGACTATCATGGATGAGCGGTTTGTGGGCTGCCCTGCGAGTTATCTTGCTGCCGGTGCCCATTGCCTCTCCCGCTTTTTCCTGCAAAGAGGGCCATGGGTAAGTCCTCCTCTTTATCATGACATGGTTGATTGAAAGCTTACACATGACAGACACATGCCCATGTTCACTTTTCCGGCTATACGCTGGCTCAATTGAGGCCACTCATCATTAGCATCCTCGACTGCTGCCAGGAACCACGCAAACATCACGGCGCGGTATACGACAAGTACTCTCATCAGAGGTTCAAGTCCGCGTCTACTTTCGTGGAAGGCAAAATTGCGAAAGGTTTCGTGTTGCCGCTTCGAGCGAACGCTTCTATCAGCGACAGTGCGCAATCATAGACCCAACCATGCCCTCCACCCGTTTGCCCTAGCATGCATCTTGGTCAATAAGAACATGCTGGCGTAAGGGCGAATTACCAACTGCATTGTTAGGAAGAGACCGCAACGATAGCGGCTCTTTCCTCTTAATATGTCCACTAAAGGAGATGTACAACCAGTTATGGCGTTGCTTTCATCAACGACGGCAGCACCTGTTTCGTACCTCCGGGCCCGCGGATAGCATATTCTCCTTTCGGACATCCGATACTACGTATTCTAGACTCTTTCGGTACTGTCTGATCTAATCTTTGGTACTCCACGGGTCCGGCGGTGCCAAATTCATGCCAAAGTAAACAACAAGACTACGAAAAAGGAAACAAAGCTTTGATGATGAAGCGACGAAGTACGACATATTTTACCCGCTTACCTATTGTGGGTTTCGTTTTCACTTGCGCTTGCAGTGTTATTTTCACCGCAGGTTATGGGGCAGATTGCCCCCTTTCTTTTTCCTATTCATCGGCGTTTTAGGAGGTCAAGATCCATACGGCTCCAACTTCCAGGCGCGATATTGGAGGTAATCGTCATGCATTGTCTTGACGGCTTTTACACCAGGTTGAGATTCTAGGCGAAAAAGAGGAGGGAAAGAAAGAAAAAAAGGAAAAAAGGGGGGGTTGGCTCATCTAAAGGGAAACTGGAACGGCGTCTGCTTCAGGGATTCATATCAGAGACGAATGGACGGATGGATCGACAAATGGACAAGATGGAATGGCGTCGGTACAATGAACATGATATTTCAACGAGCTTCAGCCTTTAGTGCGAGTGCATGGTCTTCCAAGTTCTACCGACATTTTTATGTCTAGCTTATTTTATTTATCTTTGCTCTTTCTGATAAAGGTGAAAGCTCGGCGCTGCTCAAAAGGGATGGTCGTTCACGTTTCTATTCATTTTGCATTTTTATTCTTTGCCTTGACAGAAGTCAGTCACACAATGAGTTGGGCACGAAAATGGTAGGCACGGCGAATGGAACTGGATGAACGTCATTAAGGACATGAGGAGGAGAGCAAGGCATGGTAGCATGTTAAGGGTGCTTTTCTCTATATGTTTGTTTTAAGACGCTTAGAGTATTCTGCTCGATTCTTTAATATGCCTGGTTTTGGGCCAATAGAAAAAGGGTTCACTTCCAATAAGTGACAAGGCACTTTACCAGTAGAGAAGAAGAGTCAAAACATCAGTTAAGCTATGGCATTAGCACGGCCCAATATCGGTAGTTCAATCTATATACAAGACAAGTTATGTCACTCGTCGATTTCCATGATGCATTGTTGCCAGTGATGGTCAATGTGGATGAAAACCTGCCTGCTTTGGCAACAGATTTTCAATTCTAATTTCGAGGAGGACAAATCATTCCAACCCCAAGTGGGAAGATGATATCACCTTGCAGGTTGTTATTTTATGAAAACGTTTGCTCCTTTGAGCCATATAGAAAGCAAACAGTGGTAAGTTCAGATATTGAAGACTTCGGATGAAAAGAAAACACTCGAATTATGGTGCGTCAGGTTCCCGTCTGCAATGCGGAAGTCGGCAGCCCATTCAGGGCTTGTGGTGATTGTGCGATCTCGGCTGTCCGAAGTTGTTGATAGTATTCCTATACTATTTCCACTCGACTATGAATCAGCGTTTCCAAGGCATCCAGCACATGTGTCATCATGGGACTCCTGGTCATTGTCCATGCAATACCGGGTCGATCAAGAGCGGAATTAGATGATCACAAAGTGGATTGTTGATGATAAATGGTGGGCGGCGGGGTTCAGGGGCACCATGGAGTCATTGTTTAGAAGTGGGGTTTCCTTTAGACTCGAGGCGGAACTTTCGTGAATGGAGACGGGACTGGGGCTGCCCGGGCTGGAGTTCCCGTCGTGGATATTTCTCAGCTTTGTGGATTCCTTTCGCTCACGCCTCGAGGTTGAACATTACCTAAACTGAGTTCAAAAGTTGCATTTGCTTGGCAAGGACCGCAAACTCCAAATTCACTACCTCGCATCGAATGACCTGTCAGACCCGGCCTGGACCGCGGCTTCCTGCTTGGAACGGGAGTTGGAGCGTACTGGACAAGTGCGCGGTGCGTATTGTGTGACGACGGTAGGGTACCTCTGGTGAATAAATCTCGGGGCGGCAGGGGCAATCGCATATTGGAACGCGGGTTCGGAACAGAGGAAGGCACCGCAGGAACCCTTTACTATTTGGGTTAATCTGAAGCCAAGAAAGGGGATGATGTCTCGGCCATGCAGTTTTTGTACACAGTACCGTACTACTGAACTGAAATTTTCGTCTGCTCAATTCTTCTTTTTTTTTTTTTCTTCTTTTTCGTTGACCACTCTCCGCTACATTGCGCGATCGCCTTCGCATCTTTAGAGGTCCCCACCCCCCACGACAACCACTCCACATCTCACTCTCTTCTACACATCTCACGCTCGTTCTGGAACATCATCCTAGTAATTATAGTAACAGTCATACTTCCTTCATCACTCTTGCAGTTGAAGAGGCAAAGTCGATGTGTTCGTAGCCGTGTCAGGTCTCTGAGTGCTCACTTTCGTCGTGTCCCAGACTCCAGAGAGGTAAAAGCGCACTTTTGGCCGCAGCTGTCATCCGCAGGATAGCCGCGTGACGAATTCCGTTTTTTCTTCGATCCCGACCGGGGTTTGTTTACTGGGTGCAGTCTTCGCCAGCGATCCCCCTCTTCCCCGCCGTGGGCCGTCCAACCGTCGCTCCGTTGCATTGGGCTGCCGTCACATCGTATCCAACAAAAAAAAAGACTGGCTCCGTATCCGCTACGGCCGGCGGTCCGCCTGCGATATATCCCGAGATCGGCCTGCACCTCCACGAGTCCACAGCGCTGTCGCCCTCTCCGTCCCTCCTCTGGCTCGCCCGTTCGTCTCCAGCCTCGAGAATTCTCGCAACCCCATCCGGGACCCCAGATCCGATTCCCTGAGACCCCACTCGCGCCGACCACTGAGAAGTGCAACCCCAGTGCGTGTGCGACAATTCGCGACGCATTTCACCAGCCGCAAGCCCGCAACCTTGACAGACGCAAAGCTTTGACTCTTCGCGCACAAGATCGTCCCCTGCGTCGCATACCTGCTCTCTGCTTGTACAAAGTACCCAGCCTGTCCGCGTACCGCGTAGAGCGCTTCACTACCACACACAGTCGCCATGTCCACAGCAGCGGTTGTTAAGGAAGCGGTCAAGGAGACCCTCATCGGCTCCAATGAGCATGCCGCCGCCGACCAGGTGCAGCCTACTGCTCAGACCAAGGCGCGCTTCACCCACTACGCTGTTCAGGACTCCGAGACGGGTGAACTTTTCTTGGGACCCGATCAGTTTATTGATGCCGTGGCTCCCCCTCACGAAGACTATGTGAGTCACACCTCAAGAGATCCTCACTTTGCCCTCAGTTTGCGACTCACTGGCTGACCCGCGCGCGCCTTCTTTCTATACAGCACAAAATCAAGCGCGAACAGTACAGCATCCTGTTCAGCGTTGCCGACCGAGCCAATAAAGGAAAGGTGACCCTTTCCGACTGGACATACTTCGAGAACCTGCTCGAGAAGCCCGATGCCGAGTATGAAATTGCATTCCGCCTGTTCGACGTTGAGCGCCTCGGCACAGTCAAGTATGATGACTTCCGTCGTCTTTACGAGCTCAACAAGGGCCCGAATAGCATCCCATTCGATTGGGACTGCGAATGGGCCAAACTCTACATCGGAAGCAAGACCAAGAGACACAACTTGGACTACCAACAATTTTCGCAAATGCTCCGTGGCCTACAAGGCGAGCGCATCCGCCAGGCGTTCCAGCTCTTCGACAAGGATGGGGACGGCTTCATCGAACCCGGGGACTTCGAGCGAATCATTATGGAGACCTCGAAGCACAAGCTGTCTGATCACCTCCTCGAAAACCTCAACACTCTTTGCAACATCTCCCAGGGCAGTAAGGTCTCGTATGCGAACGTTAGGGCATTTCAAAACATAATCAAGGAAATGGATCTAGTCGAGCTCATAATCCGTAAGGCTTGCGGCAAGAGTCAGGATGGCAAGATTACTCGCACTGAATTTCTCAACCAGGCTGCAAAGATCACCCGCTTTTCCCTCTTCACTCCCATGGAGGCGGATATTCTGTTCCACTTTGCGAGTGTTGGTAACCCCTCAGGCAGACTTGGTCTTGAGGATTTCGCAAAGGTTCTTGACCCTTCATGGAGAAACCGTCACGAGGCCGAGGCAAGACTTCTGCCTCAAGCTGTGCAGACAAAGAGTCAGCAGTTTGCCCACCGGGCGGGAGAGTCGGCTTACAACTTCATTCTGGGCAGTTTGTCAGGCGCCTTTGGTGCATTCATGGTCTATCCCATTGATCTGGTCAAAACAAGAATGCAGAACCAGAGAGGTGCCTCGCCCGGTAGCAGACTCTATGACAACTCCATCGACTGCTTTAGAAAAGTCATTCGCAACGAGGGTTTCAGGGGTCTTTACTCGGGTGTTCTGCCCCAGCTTGTTGGTGTCGCCCCTGAGAAGGCCATCAAGCTTACCGTCAACGATCTCGTTCGTGGCGCCTTTACTGATAAGCAGGGCAATATCTCCTTGATCCATGAGATCATTGCTGGTGGTACTGCCGGTGGTTGCCAAGTTGTAAGTCTTCTTAAAATATTCTGTGTGCCTGGCTTTCGCCGTTGAGAATGCTAACTGCTTTCTTGTGCATTAGGTTTTCACAAACCCCTTGGAAATTGTCAAAATCAGATTGCAGGTCCAGGGTGAGGTTGCTAAGAGTGTCGAGGGCGCTCCCAAGCGCTCTGCCATGTGGATCGTCCGTAACTTGGGCCTGGTGGGATTGTACAAGGGCGCATCTGCTTGCTTGCTCCGCGACGTTCCCTTCTCGGCTATCTACTTCCCAACTTACTCCCACTTAAAGAAGGACCTTTTCGGCGAGTCAAAGACCAAGAAGCTGGGCGTTCTGCAGCTTCTTACGGCCGGCGCCATTGCCGGTATGCCCGCTGCTTACCTTACGACACCCTGCGACGTCATCAAGACTCGTCTGCAGGTCGAGGCCCGCAAGGGCGACACGCAGTATACCGGTCTCAGGCATGCTGCCAAGACCATCTGGAAGGAAGAAGGCTTCCGGGCCTTCTTCAAGGGTGGTCCTGCCCGTATTTTCCGCTCCTCGCCGCAATTCGGTTTCACCCTTGCCGCTTATGAGCTCCTCCAGAGTGTTCTGCCGTATCCCGGACAGAAGGCGGAGAAGATGCACGCGGGCGTCGCTGATGCTGTGTCCATGGTGAAAGATTCCGTGGGCGGTGACAGCCCGTACACGAGGTCACGCAATGCCCTCAAGATTCTGCTGGATCTTGATGAGCATTTTGGCCGCGTGAAGCTCGATGCCAATGCCGCTGGATGGAAGGCTCTGCCCACGTGGATGCAGACACCTCCCAAGACCGCGTAAGGTGGCACTTACGGAGCGTCAGGACCCAACGGTTATCGAAGCTGATATGGGGATATGAGTGTGGAAACACAGCTGATCGTCAGTAGATGCAGCTGGCAACTGCTTGACAATGAGGTGACTACAACCGCTGACCGTTACCGACCTCTTTTCCATTAAACTTTATTTGGTCTCAATCAAATAAGCCCCTTGATCCTCATCGACCACCTGTGGCAGGGCTATTTGCGCAAGCTCCACCAAAGTTACGCAAGTGCATACTACGCCGCCTGAGCTTGTGCAAGTACACCATCATTCATGGTTACTATTTCCCCTTCCCTCCATGATATCTTTCAATCTTAGTTTCGGCATATATCTCCACGATTTCGGATCTGAGCACAAGATCAGACGGGGTTTCGGTGCACTATTTAACAGGACGGCGACTGCTGATGGCAAAAAGGATCTTCATGATATCGGTTCAGCGAGTATGGAGTACGAGAACACAAAAATAAGGGGCGTTATCGGGAGAAAAAAATGCGATCTGGGGTGGCGGGAATGTTTTCGTTTCAGATTTTTTAATTCTTTTTGTCGGATTTCTGTATATGCTCGTACTTTGCACATGAGTCAACTTTTCAGCGAAATGCTTACAGCTCTTTTTACTCGCTTCTTCTGACGCCCTTCACTGGGTCATGTTAGGGGCTGCTTTTTCCTCCTCCTTTTCTCCTGTCACTTAAAAATATGAAGAAGGAAACGGGTCTATGTCTAGACGTTGGTTTTCGATCTCTTCGTTTCCTTTCTACTTTCACATACTTTGCCTATCATTCTCTTCCGCGCTCTTCCTCAGCCCCGGTTGCACTCTGTTGGTTTTCAGTTTGGAGTTGACTATCTGAGGCAATGAACGGATGAGCGCAAGTGCATGAACACGCGAATGTATAGCAAAGCGGACAACAAGTGCTACAGTCATGACACTCTACACATTTTCACATAACCTTCCTTGCGTGGGATAGAGAAAAGTATCAAGGGAGGGTAGATAGCTAAAGATAGACTAGCATTACAAGATAAAAGCATGTTATAAGACAGGAAAAAGCCTGATAGCGCTCGATTAGGTCAGTGAAAATCATTGGAGTTGAGCACGGCTTTTGCCGTCATCTTCGATTCTCAAGTGATAAAATTCCGCACTGATTGGAAAATGATTGGTTTATAGATGTTACTTTACTCTTCTATCTACAATAAGCGGGTTTAGCTCAGTTGGGAGAGCGTCAGACTGAAGTCCACTTCACTCATAAATCTGAAGGTCGTGTGTTCGATCCACACAAACCGCAGCTTTTTTTTGACAATTTTGTTTATTCCTTTCATCTCCTTCTTTTTCTAATTATATGTTGGTCCTTCTTTCTTTTAACTAGGGGTTGTTGCAAATGTTGGTTGTCGGTCTTTTTTTCCTATGTTTTTTTTTTTTTCCAACTGGTACGTAGGTGTGTGTGTTGATGATCTTTCTTTGCGCTTCAATTCATCTCTAACTACCCGCTTGACATGTAACGAGCTAGGTTCGTGAGTAGTTTTGAAGAATGGTTGATTAATGCAAGAGTGGATGGATGACTATAATGAAAATAGCTCAGCTGAGTTTGACATTTTTAAACAAATAGTAACACGCTTGATAATCAATGTCTCCGATCTCCACGATGCGTTGCTCAAATACGGGCGGAGCGACGTCACGGTCTACGACATCGATATTTATTACATCCTTTTTGGTGTTTTTTCTTGACAGTTGCTCTACCTCCATCATGTCCGCTTCATCCGACCTGCTTTGGCTGGAAGTTGTATATAATCAGCTAGCTCTATGAGCCCTTCCTCTTTTGTTGATCTTCTCACCTTGACCATCGATCGGCCTTGATGGTATCTACCCGAAAGCAGAAGGACCTACTTCCCCTACTCTATCTAGCAACAATACGTTATACTTTCTTCGGTGATTGTCGCTGGCTGCTGCAATGTTGTACCTCAACATCTTAATCCGCCACCTCACTCTTGCTGCCGCTGTCCAGGAAGCTTCGGTGACGAGGTCCCAGAGGCGGATGTTTGATATCACAGGTAGACGTCGTATAGTTAGTATAGTTCTCTATAATCATTCCTTTGCTGAGATTACGGAATGGGATCAAGGCAGGAAATAAGAGGAGGTGAAAAGATAAACTCACAACTAAACCCGCCCAACCCTAGTACTAAAACAACCCAACTGTCCGTTCCTCCCCCCTTTTCAACTTCACCAACACCGGGGGCGGCAGGATATATAGCAAGCCCATTCCGATATACAACCCCGTGCTACTAGCGTACCAGTACGTTACGCCCCTACATTTCCAGTCTTATGACTTTAACCTAGAAAGAACTCCAAAACACCCGCAACGAATCGCAAGCAGTCACAAGCGTGTAGAAAGCCCATCTTCCGTTCGTGGCGATCACAACTCCCAGGATCAGGTCGATAGGATTTCGCGCGTGTTGGTAGAAGGAGAGGATGCGAATTGTATAAGAGTAGGATGGATATCTTGGTGATGAGGAGGAGGGAGAGCATATAATAGAAGATTGTGTACCAATCTGCCTTGCCTGATTACACTGAGAACGGATGGTGCAAGCTACATATAGAGGTCCCTTCGTAACAATAATGGTGCACCCAGGAGCTGAAAGAAAAGAAAGAAAGGAAGAAAGAAAGAAGACCAAAAAACTACACGGTCCATTAACCCGCCTATAAACAGCCTGCTCAACACCAACGCCACCAAAGGAACCCAGTCTTCGGGTCCAAGAACTTTCTTTCCCTTTTGAAAATAAACAAAATCCCGGGTATAGAAGCGGAGGCCATAGAGGACTGAGACGGTCTAGTCAGTGATAATGGCACAGGGACAATGCAGTGATGCTAGATTAGTGGAATCATTAAGGGTTGGAGACTAGCTGTGGGAAAGAAAAGGCGGAAAAGACTGTCTCTAGTATGTCTGGGATGGCGGCACCGTAGATTGTTTGTTCAAGACTGTTGAATGGAGAGGGATTGCGCTTCCTCTGCCGCTAATGCCATTAAGTACGGAAGGGGCATGATTGTATTTTGTAGTACGTTCAGGACCTCTGAGGCTTTGCTTTCTTGTTAGTTTTCTTTTCTTTCTCTTTTTTCTCCGTTTATATCTATATATTTATGTAACCGCATCACTCCAACATGCATGACGACGGTGCAGGTGGGAGAGTTGATGCTACTTCGTATTCAACTAATGTCTATCTATAGCAAGCCTGCTTCTACCCGTCGAATACCTTCATGTCTGCCTTAGCATCTCCCCTCAACTACCACAGATCAGTGAGAGGTATGGTGAACTTGACACGCTTCCAACTGGGTCTACTCTAGCTTTACTGACACTGACCCGGCCAGCCAGGCCATTTAGTGTACATAGGGATGGTCATCACTCGCATTTACCCCCTCCACCTACCTATCATCGGGTTTGGCATCTGTAATGTAACCTTATCAGCCGTTGGTATAGGATGCCAAAGTGTCGTTCGCCACCGTTGTCCAAGCTGTGACAGTGTGGCTGCATGAATTTCCCAGCCTTGTGGCCTGGGTAAGGGGCCGGATATAGTCTGGTGTATATGACTCGATCACTATGCGTCAATGGTCGATTGGACTGCGTCGATCCCGCAAGACGGTGTGAACGACGGTGGCCTACGGTAAGACCAAAAGGCTGGCAATATATTCACGAGGTTAATAGCACACGTGGACAACACGACGACCTGTTTTCAAGACAACCGAAATCCATTCAAGAAATAAAGCACAAACTTGTACAGTACTGCATCAAAACGCATACTACAAACCGGTTCATGCGCGGCAGGTATTGACCGAAAACCAGAATAATGGTAACAGTAATGCAGTCATCGAAGACGACGATGGCAATGCGGACAACAAGTTGCTAGACCAAACTAGACTAAACCACCCCAACCAGAACGATTCCCAGCCAAAGTTCCTCTCGTAACATCATAACACCTTTTGCCGGCTCGTACCATGCCCGACATAGCAATTCGGCAATATACATACTGACCCCCAAGACTTTGTTTTTTGTGGTCAGGCTATTCGGTATGTAGTCCAGAGTAATCCTGAACTTGATTTCGTTTTCTTCTTCTTTCCATTTGTGTGATTCAAAAAAACAAAGCATTCCATATCAGGACTGAGTCCCGTTTCTCCTAAAATACGGTGCCGTCACTATCGATTAGGATAGGCGGTTCCTTAGTGTTTGGTCGGCTGACTTCGGCAATTTCACGGCCACCCTATAAAGCGATAGTAGTTAGCATAAAGATTCGAAAACTAGACACAACAATAGGGGCCGAACTCACCTTCCAGCTGCCAGCCTCTAGCATTTGAGCAAGGGTAAGCTCGTTACCCTGCAGCTCCTTTTCCAAGGCCTTGTTGACCTCAACACAAAGCTTGTCGAGGAAACCAACAGTGACGCCTCTCCACTCCACAATAACATCATCACTGGGCTCAAACATGGGTGCCACTTCGTTCTCCTTAGTGCCGGTGCGATCGCAGTACGAGGTGTAATGCGCCAAGCCGCGGTCCATATCCTCCTTCTTCAGTGTAAGGACGCCGAGGTCAATGAACAGACCGCCGTTGCGATACTCGGGAAGACCAGTAAGAAGCTCCTGGCCCGCAAACTGGATCTTCATGATGCTCTGCATGGGCTGCATGAGCGAGTAGGTAAGCCACTGGGTAAGCTTGTGGAAGGGAAGAATGCTTTCCCAAGGCGCGACGCCGTTGGACTGGCCAGAGGTGTTGGGGAAAGGAGAAAATGTCGGACTAGATGGCGACTGAGCCGGCTGAGGCATGGAGCTGCAGGGCCAGGCGTCGCCCAAAGAAACGCCGTTGATGGCAGTCCTCGATGGTGGCCAGACAGGAGCAAGGCCGCTCATGAGGACGTTCCACAAGACGGGAAGGGGAACAATCAAGCCGTTGGTCGCTTGTGTCGAGGGGTGGTCGAGAATGTGGTCCAGCATGTTTCCAGGCCGTCCGTCCGCGCCGAAGAACTCGGTCTTCTCCTCCAAAGCCTGGCCCAACCGAATAAGGAGCTGAGCGCGGCCTTCGATGCCAGCCATCTCGTTACCCGGTCCAGACTGCAACCCCTGGGCGAGCTTGTCGACGGTTAGATTCGCCAAGCCCTCCTTGTCGACCTGGTACTTGTTGTTCTTGTTACCAGAAAACAGACCCTGATGTTTATGTCAGCCCAGCGCACTCAGGAAAGTCTACCTAAACCGGAATTCATCCAACTTACGGTCTTAAACATCTCCAAACTAGCAACGGCAATGCCTTCAGATCGCCTATAGATACGGCCATTCTCGTTGCTCTTGTAGCTCCACTGGGTGCCGGCACCGGCGTCCAGCAATACACTGACAAGGAACAGATCGATCATGCGCTTGCACTTTTCCGTGTTGTCAACATCCTCAGGGAATGTGGACAGGAGGTGAGCGATGCGGTCGCGCCCGCCGATGGCGAAGTGCTGGTGACGGCCGTGGCCGGGAATGGATGTGAAGGGGGCGTCATAGTCTCTCTGTATCGCGGACTGTTAGTTATCTATCCATAATGTACCCATGCGCAGTGTGCCTGTCCCACAACTGGGGGTTCATGTCGGTGCGCTGTCGCAACTTCCTCGAGGGTCGCACTGGCACCCACACCACACCACACCGCAGGGTACCCCGCACAGCCAACGTCAGGTCTTTACAACAGCAGGAGGGAAGTCGACTAACCTTGATGATGTTGGCAACAAAAGTGACTACATCGTCAAACTTGTGCATGTCGACATCAAAGTGGTTGAGCTCATTGCGCAGGGCCTTCTCGGTGACGATCTTGCAGCGCTCGCGGACAGCGCCCAAGCTCCTGAGGTATCCGACAGGGTCGAGCTGCGGGTCGGGGGGCCTGGGGATGTCGATCCGGGGGATGCCGGGGTTGAGACCGGGAGAGAAGGGTGGTGTTCCTGGATTGCTGCTCATGGTGGCGGCTGATGTTCGGTTTAGGATGCGAGAAGTGGAAAATCCGGGAGACTTGATGCTGGACGAACCCGAGGTGAGGGAGGATTTTGACTGCGAGGCGCTCAGGACCGGCGCCTCCGTCTTCGGCGCCTTATCCCTCCGCGAAAACAGACCCATTTCTGCTGCTCGGTGGTGACTGGTGAAGTGATGCGGTTGGCTCCTGGTGGACGCAGTCGGTAGTCGGCCACTTCCTATGGCTGTCTCGATGTCGGTGTTGCACTCTGGTTGCACTCTGAGGGCGTAGCTCGGAATGGGAGTGCGCAATTAGCGGGGTCCAGGGCTGCTGATTGGCTGTTAGATACTGGCTATGGCTGGTTATCGAGGCGTATGACAAGAGCCATGCGCCTAGAGATGATAAAGGTGGAGGAGGAGGATCGCGGGAGCATGCATGGGATGGGGTTGCACCAGATCGACAAGACAGATTGGTTCGGATTGGAGCAATGGGAGGCTCCGAGGACCAAGTTGTAGTAATGGATTCTCGCCGTCTGGTATCGCCCGTGGGGTATTGTTGCAGCGCTGCAGAGTTGCAGTGGCAGGTGTCGGGCGATAGTGTAACGATTAAGCCAGTAATAGGAAGGTAAGGATATGTATTACCTAGTAGGTTGTAGGTGATAGTACTAAGATATGATTCCCGTCCAGTAGGTCTCTGCTTGATACCTAGGTATGCCGGCCGGCCTTGCTGATAAAGATGGATTGCGAACGAAGGTCGGGTCCGAAGTGTGGTTTGGTTGAGTTAAGTTGACGAATCAGTTGAACGAGCGACTGGTTAGGAGTGGAGAGGAGGAACGAACGAAGTCGATGTTGGGACCTCGACTCGGGGCTTTTGGAGTTGAAATGCAGAAGAACGGACACCGAGACCTTTTGTTTTCAAAACTCGCAAAGCGCTCTGGTAAAAAAAAAAAATCAAAACGACGAGGAGTGAAAGAAACTAAATGCAATGAGACGGTCACATGGACCTCCACAGAAACAGACATGGGATGGGATGATGGATGGGGATGGTATGGGGACTGACGGCCTGCAAAAGGGGAGGGGGGCCTGGGAGTGAACCTGGGCGCGGACCTTGACGACGGGAGGTTCGATGGTACCTAGTGTCCAACCTGCCCGGCCCTGCTGCCCAGTGCATGAAGTGTGGGCACGAGCAAGAGGGCACTGGTGTGGCACCGGGGTACGTTCGAAGGCGGGAGCTTCCCTGAAGAAGCTTGGACCACCCCACTGACCTACTGCGACAGCCCACAGTTCAGGGCACGAATCTCCAGCTGACAGTCCGTGCAGTGCGCGAGCAGTCGCAAAGCAGTCCCGTCACGCACAGCAGGCGGGTCAGCTCTCAGACACGGTGCCTGCATTTTCCTGCAGCATTCCCTTGCCTTCTTTCTGTGCGGGAATGTCTGCTGAATGGGATCGAGTGGACCTATATTACCTACCCCTGGGATTGGTAGGTAGGTACGGGAAAGCAGCGGGAGGACGTTCGCTCAGAGTTTTCGAGTTCCCTTGGGCTGTGAACCTGGAAACAGCCAGCCAGACACCTGGACCCTTCGGTTGAGCTTCGGTTTCGCTGGATATTATGACATACCTCGACACCTTCAGAGTTTCGACGTCCAGTTTCCACCAGCCGAGTGTCAAGATGCAACCGAGTGACGAAATGGAGTGTGACGGGCCCCTTATCGCCTGCAGAACGCACAATCCTTCTATTTGATCGGCCGTTGTCCAGAAGCAGCGACGGCGCCGCAATGAAGCGCAATCATGGTTGCAGTATCGATGGGACCTTTATTGGACCCGTACTGGCCGCCTGGAAAACTTTTTACTCTCTGCCCCGTCTCTGCCCAGGGTGCTGGTGGATTACACTACATGTCGAACTCGACAACAAAACTTCCACTTGCCGAGCGCTACGCTTTTCAGAACTCGTACCAACGACCGGACGACCACACGAGGGTTCCCGACATGGGCTGATCACCAACCGTTCAGGCCCGTCCGAGGAGAGTCAAGGACCTGAGGGTCACAGAGGGTCTGGAGCGACCAAGCAACGACTGGAATAAGCCCGATCGGGCGCTAAAACAAAGTTGCTCTGGATGTCGCCAGCGGATCCTGGGCCAAAAGGGCAGCGCTGTCCAGTGTCGTGCTGCGCTGGGAAATTGACGCAGCGGAGGCCAGCGGAGCGTCGAGCTCCACCCAAGGTCTTTGCTCCCCCAACCAAGCTCCAAGCCCGGAACCGAAAGGATCCTCTCTCTCCCCCGCGGTGCACGGAACATCGAGATCCTTTCCCGACACGGTTCTTCTGCCCACACAATTCTACATATCTTGCTATCTCTACTGCACTGCACTGGCCATGACGCTGCATCTGGGTAGGTAGACAACTGCTAGACAGCGACGGCCGTGAGAGCACTGTTATGGACTGTCTGGAACTGCCCAAATGGTCGACAATGAGCGAGGTTTGCGGCCCCCCCGTCTGGTTCCAGCGATCCGGACAAAATCAGACCCCCTGCAAGCCACCTGTCTCCGGGAAGACTTCCAGTTGGCCGGATCGAAAGCAATGAGCTCCAGCGCAACTCCAGTGAAACTCCAGTAAACTCCAGGAACAGGGGTCCTGAGTAGGCGCCACGGCCAGGAACAGGCAAGGCTCCTCAGCGGTATCCCGGCTGTCAGACAGGAACCGAAGCTCTCATGCAGGTACATGTAACCTCAGCAGGCCTCGTCACACACCACCGGACCGTTAGAATTCCTCACGACATCTTGTCACCTTCTGGAAACACAAAATGCATCGGAGAAAGATCCGAACCTGGGCGGCCCCGTTCCGCTTGGTGCTGTTCAGCGTTCATCAAAAAGAGAGACCCGGCACTCTGGTAATGCCAGAGAACAGAGTCCCGCGAAAGCATGCATCTCGCGTCAGCACGGAACGAAAAAACGATCGCCATCACGTTCGCTGTGACCCTTCATTCGCAGAGCACACAGTCTATCTCGGAGTCTAAAAACAGCAAACAGTTCGCAGCTAACTATCGGGGCAAACTGGCGGCGGCCGGTAGCAGTCCATCCAACAGCTGTGCTTTATATTCGGCCATACTGTCCGCTTGCACAACCACTCACTCTGGCTCACACATGGAGGCAGTACGCGGTGGGATATGCACGGCACTACCTATAGTTGCACTCGGTCGGGGTGGATTGCTTGACTGGAACCACCCAATAGCTTCACCACCCTTCACTGCGTAGTGTACGTCCACAAAAACCACGATGTTGACACGTGTGCAGCATGCAAGTGTCGCTGCAGTGTGCCTCCTCCACCGCATCATGCACTGGACACACATCGGCACGTGTACAGCATATGCAAACAATGCACAACATGACCACCACCAAAAAAAAAAAAAAACTTCTTGTTCTCCCTCGCTCCGTCTCACTTGTTGCACTAATCCAAATATGGGCAAAAAGTCCCCCAAAACCCCAAGGTCGCTGCTTCGCTACATGCTATGTCCCTGTTGTCCATCGTTGAGTTCTCTCGTTTCGTGACATAACTCGGGCCTAGTGCACACTACCGGCTACGGTTTCCATCTCTTGGGCCCATCAAGAGACTTCGCTTGGCATACCTCGTTTGTCATGGTGTCTTTGTCGAGACCCATCCCAACCCATACCAGCCCATCACAGCCCACAACGCCATCCCCGGGAGCCCGGCTCCAGCAGAGACCCAGGCCTGACTCCTCCCTAATTTGAATTCTAGCAAACACCAAACTGGTTTTGACACGCACACATCATCCCTCTGCCCGACTGGCTATGCCCGGACATCATCATCTTGATCAGGGTAAAAATGAAGTGGAATAGACCGGCAAGTAGCTTGCTAGGCGACCCAACAGAATCAGAACCGACGTGCTGGTACCCTAACGGACCTCATCCGTACCATGCCCTGTACGCAAATCGTCTTTCTCGGGTGCACCTTCCTGAAGAATGGAATCATTCAAACGTCTTCCGTCGACTTGGCATCACAGATCGGACATGTCATATTGAATCGCCATCCCTCTTCGGCAGAACAAGACCTCTAGGCAGAAAGAGAGAAGAGCGCTCGTTTTCGGTTGGCAATGAGTGGCAGTGTGAGTCGAGACAACTCATATGGGATACATGTCAAATCACATTTCCCACTCACATCCCCCACTCCCATTCACAGACACTCACTTCGCTCACAGTCTTCTGGTGTCCATCATCCCACCTCCCCTCCGGGACCGCGACCCTCGTGGGTACCGACCGGCGAAAACCCCGCGCGAGCCCTACCGATATTACATTCCGCGCTCTGAAGGCCGAATGGAGCCCGAACGACATTACGTGCTTGCTTGATGTCCTGAAACTCACATATCTACCACAACATACCACCTCAATCGTGACTAGTACTTTACCCAACCGGGTCGTGAACCCTTCCACTCGTGTCCATCTCCCAAACTCCTCAGGGCTATTGGGAATCTGCGGAGGAAGCCCCGACCACAGCCTTCAACCATTCGGAGCCTCTCCGTGTCTCCCTCTCTGCTTATTGTTCTTAACCCTCACCCCTTGCCCCGTATCAAACCCTCGCCTTGCCCTAAACACCGCACATTAATACAACAGAAGGCGAGTTGGAAGGGCAAGACCAACAATTCGTCCTCTTCCCCCTCTTCTCCCGATGACGTGACCTCATGAGTAGTCCGTGTCCCATCCAACTGGTAACGGTGGATTTGCATCGGTGACATGTGGATAATGGCGTGGAAGTGACCGATCGGCACTCCCAACTTCCCTCTTCAGTAAACCGGGCATATGGAATACCTTCTTTGGATCCGTGGGCATGGTCTGAGAAACCCTTGCATGAAGATCGGTATTTCAACACGTGTTTTGCGAGAATAACCATTCCGCTTTTCTCTCTTTCAACCTCTTCCCTGTCGGCAATCATCATCATACACCATACCCCTTGGCCATTTTTTTTTTATATCGCGTCGAAGCCTCGCCTTTCTTGTTTG